ATAAAGTTAAAAAATTTGCTTAATAAGTATAAAATAAAGTTAAAAAATTTGATTAATAAATAAATAAATTGGCAAGTGTATAATTAAATTAACTTAATTTGCTATAAAGCGATTTAGATTTTATAAATGAAATAGCTTAAATAATAAATTACTTTAAATCAATAAATATATTTTGATTATATCGAAAAAAACTTGAAATATAAAAAAAAATTTTATGTATAAATTATTAAACTGCAAAGTTCAGCCTATTTGGAATTAAACCGCATTAATGCAGAATAATGCAAACTTTGTAAAACTTGAAAAATAAATAAAATAAACAACAATATATTTATAAAGCAAAATAAGATTATATTATATAATAATAAATATATAAAAAATAAAAAAATAAAATATAAATAAAAAAAAAATAGAATTAAAAATTAAAAATATAAATAAAAAAAATTAAAATATATAATAATACAAAAAAATATATATATATAAAATTTGAATTGGAAGATTGCATTATAGCATAGAAGGGACATTAAAATATAATAGTAAAAAATATTTTATTGTTGATGACTAGCTTCTTTAGTTTGTTGTTGTGTTGGTGACTTAACAAAAGTTGTTGTTGATGGAGGTGGTATGACTTGAGATTGTTCGAAATGATGCGATTCTTTGTAAGTTGAATCAGATAAATGATTAGAAGAGTCGAGATTATGAGGAAAGAAGAGATTTCTATAACTGGAACAGGTATATATCTTAATTTCCCTTTTTACTTAGTTGGGTGATGGCGACTATTATTTTTCCTTTTTGACCCAACTTTTTGAAAAAGAAGCTATGACTTCTTCTTCTTCTGTGATAGATTCTTTTCATTAGAAGCCATTGCCCAAAAGGCAGAGCAATCTTTTACCTTTTTCTTTTTTTATTAAATTTAAAATTATTATTATTATTATTTTTTTGGTATTAAAGTGAGATCTTGCTTATATTTTTATTAATTAATTTATATAAGTAATTATATATCAACTATATAAAGACTTAATTTGTATAATAACAAATAAATATAAATTATATTCAAGAATAAAAGCTTAGACTAGAAGCTTAATCTAAAGCTAAACTAATTATTTGTAACCTAAACCTACTAGAGTGGTCAAAACTTACCTAGATTTGAATTGTTAAAATATAGCTAATAGATGTACTATATTTGATCCACATAGTAGACCAAATATTAATTTTAAGAGTGGCTTGTCCTAGAGGAAAACAAGTATTGAGTTTAGAGTATAATTGGTCAGCAGAGCCACAAGAACAACTGTAGGTATAATGGATTTTGTTTTTGTGATTAGTTAACCATAAGGAAAATTGAGATATATTATTAAAGTTAGAATAGAAAGAGATTTGTCAAGATTTTTTCCAGTTAGAGAATTGGTGCAATATGAGATCCAGATATTATTGTAGAGTTAATCAGAAATTTTAAATAGTAGCTGAATAATAAGTTGAGAGAAATTAGAGTATGAGATTTCAAATGGGTCTAGGGATTGAATTAGAGATATAGATATAAGGCCTTTAAGTGTAGAGTTAAGTGAAAAAGAATATAGTTGAGATAGTAAAAGGTTAAAAGCAGAATGCAAAGAGATAGTATATATGAGGTTGTTTAATTGATAAAAGGAAAGATTAAGATAGATATTGGTAATAGTGTTATGTATAGAGGAGTTAATAATTTGAGTTAAAAGATCATAATTGGGAAAGATGTACCAGTGTAAAGTAGAGTCTAGAACATTGCAAGAAAAGCAGTTAGAAGATATAAATATATGAGGATGAATATTATGAAGGTGTGTATATGTGGGTAGTATGTTAAGTAATATTTTGAATACATTTGGTTAAACTAGCTTTTAATTGCTTTTGTTTTAACCTTATTACTATTAATTTTTCTAGAAGTTCGACTATGTTTAATTTTACTAATAATTCTGAAATATAATATTTCATATATCTGTTTTACAAGTTTTTAAAATTTACTATTTCTGGATATTTTGTTATTATATTTGCTGCTGTGGATAGTATTGACATTTTTTAGGGGTTAGGGTCCCGTAGCCTAGTGGTCTAGGCGCCTAATCCTTCACAGATGAGGTCGATAGTTCAATTACAGCTGGTGGTAATTAATTTAATTAATTATTTCTGTAATATTCGGGGGCTTTTGAATGCGGAACCCTGTGGTGGTAAGACCATGTGAAGTACATATTTGGCCGATAAAGAATTCTTGAAAGGAGTCCCGTGCCATGGAGAAGATCAGGCACTAAGTATAACATGAGTCACAGAAGGTAATACTGCAGAAGGCTGTGCGTGTGAATCCACGATTAGCAAGGTAGCACCAACAACCCTAAGGTGGCATTGGGATCTTGATTGAGAGGACGGCTATATGCAATATATCCAGAAGTGGTGAGAGAAGCGGTGAATATAGTAAGGAGCTGTGGTAAGAGAATGGCTTTACCAAATATAGAACACCTCTGGCACAAGGAAACAAGGAAAACTGGCTAAAAGAAACCCCAAAAAGCATGAAAGCAAGCGCTCCGGTGGTACAAAAATAAAGACAGCCAGTAAGTAATGTGTTGCACAATCTATATGGGAGCCATATGATGAAAACATGGCAAAAGCACAGGTTCTGGGTTACTGGCTTGTGACAGTAATTAAATAAGGTACTTAACTTCTGTTCTAAGGATCTAGACTTCTGTAATACTATACCGATAGGAAGTACTATAAAAGAAGCAGTAGCCTAATTTGGTGGTGTACAATGCAAATACCTGGATCGACATAAAATAACATCCTAGTATAGCAGCAAGTGGCTTGAAATACAAGTCTTATGACCTGGCAGCATCTGGCTTGAGATACGGATTAGGTCTTTAGAGTAGCTCCCCAGGGACACCAAACTGGAAGTATGAAGAGTGCCCACTCAAAAGACACCAATTTGAAAGTAATACAAGAAACAAATTAGGAGTAATGTAATAAGTGATGAGGGGTGAAAGTTAGTTGGTGGACGTTGTACAGTAGTATATAAGCGGGATATATATGATAAAATAGGTTTGGGAACTATCCAGTGAGTTTGAAAACCGGCCTGGTGCAGGACGGTGGATAAGGAGGTAAAATCCCATATAGCAGGTCACACATAGGTACTAAGTTAGTAACCGGGTGAGTCTTATCTGTAATAAATTAGATAGTTGTAAATGTATATGTACATTTGTAACTGTAATACCTTAGAGTACTAATAAACAGTTAAGGCAAGACTGCCGAATTAAAAAAAAAAAATTTGGCAATAACCTGACAAGAATCTGAAGAGCAAATATGAAAAACAAATATGAAAAACAAATATGGGTTTACTGTCTATCTCTGCTACGTGCTAAGTGTACATAAATACTAACAATGCAGACTTTGAAAGTATTGTCTGAAGAATGACTAATGCTATATTTCTACGTAAGCCACTACAGGGCTAACAATTTGGTGGGCAGGGCAAAAAAAATCAGCACCATACTGGAAAAAACTCTGCCGCAGCCAAGAACTATTGTGACTGTTATCCCAACAGGCCACTTTCATTGACAAAACTTAATATAAACTGTGACTGCCATCTTGGCAGGTCACGACCATCAAGCAGCTTTCATCGATACATTCTGAGCGCAAAACTTCTGCGCATGTGCTAGAGTGGGCAGTGTGGGACGATTAAACCAGACAAAAGTCGGGTTAGCAGAAAAAACAGAACTTACCCTTTCTGGGAAAAAACCCCTTCCTTAAAAACCCACTAACGATTACTAATCGTAACAATTACGTCAAATTGTCATAATCAAATCATGCATCATACAATAGATCATAACAATGCAATAAACTACAAATTATATGATAGCCAATCAATGCAAAAATCAAAAAATCATGCATATTACTTGATCTCTTGATATACCCCATGCCTGATTCAGGACAAAATGCTGCTCTGATACTTTCGTATTGAGCAGCTAAATTTGTCCCTCATCAAGGGGTGATACAAGCTAAAAAACAGTTGGCAAACAATAAAACAATGCAATAACAACAAAACAATGCAATAATTTGGTGAAGAGCAAATATGAAAAACAAATATGAGTCCTTGCAGAGTATCACTACGAAAGGGGTTTGATTTACTATATACAATCTTATTTCTAATCAAAACCCATTAAACTTAAAACCCCTAACTCGGCAGTATCAACTGCTCTTATATACAATTGCACTGCTCCAAATATCCAACCTCCAATTGACTAGATTTGCTCCAAAGTCATACCTCCTTTCATGGCAGCTGTAGCACCTCCAATTCTCAAGCTGTGTATCGTGAACCTTCTTTGTAATCCAGCATGTTCAGCAAAACATCTCACTATTGCAGATATTGCTACAACAGATAACTTACTCCCATCCTTGGACAAAAAAAGAGACTCTTCCGATAACGTACCCGGTCTCAGCCTTAGGTAACATTCTACTAGTTTAACTGAGCACACCTTACTTGATGACCTTTCTATTGGGATAAACTTGCCCTTTTCCAACTGGTCCGTTTTGGACTTTGCAACCCTCACCCATAATTTTCTGTCCTTTTCTACAATATCTGACCTCTTTAAGTTGCAAAGCTTACTTGGTCTATGCATCACCCTTAAACCCAAGGCCACCAAGGCTAAATCTCGCGCCCATAAAACCACACTGGCTCCAGATAGAGAACTCTTCACATATTTTCTAACTACCAACACTAGTAGCGGATCTCGTGACCACCTGGCTCCCTGGCTTCTTTTGAGAGGCTGTCCTTTTAATTCCTTTGATAATCATTCGAATCCAACTGTCCTTTATCAGGTCGACCAAGCCTCTTGCTTTGTGCTCCCTAGCTATTGCTGACAAACATGTCGGCATCTCTGCTACCTTTCCAGAAAGCTCTAGCCATGAAGAAAAGCCACCAACAGCTCTTCTAATGCCAGGTACGGGGGTAACCCCAACTCACATGCAAAACCAACAAACACACCCTGAGCTTTTTCTAGCCGCCTTCCATATGCCTCACTAATTGAATTGTTCATGAGGAGTTCTGCTCTAATTAACAACTCCTTAACCAATTCAAAAACACCGCCCTCAAGACCCACTGATTGTTTTTGCAAGGCTCCAAATTTCCCAACGGTCCTGGTAGAATAATCTGGCCTGCTGGTAGCAAATTGATTTCCTTTCTTTGTGAATTTACTATTATTGGCCACCATGGGGCCGAGACCCAAACTGGAACTATAATAACTATTATGGCCCCACACCAATGTCTGAAATTCAATTTTTAAATTAGTTGCGGACTGCAACCAATTAAAAAAAATGACTTGCGGATTATAAAAATTTATAAAAATTTAGTTGCGCATATGACTATTTAATAATTTATAGATAAATTTTGCAAATTTATGTGCGGAATCTGCATGTGCACTTCAGATTTTGGTTGCGGGAATTTAAAATTTTGTTGCGGTCCGCAGACTCAGCAACCCAATTTCAGACACTGCCCTACACCCCTTGGCATGACGTAATACTCTGTGGATCAAGCTGAAAGGAGGACAAATGTAATTTCTTACTCCGGCCTAATTTTGTGTGAAGCAATCTACTGCTTCTGTTCCCGGGCAAAAATACAGACTGTTGAATCTCCGGGTCCTCGCATTTAAGTGACTTGCGAACCTGTCTACCTCAAATTTTTCCCAAACTTGTTTTAGGTAGAATACCATATCTGAACTTAATACCCAATCTCCATGGTCCAGCACCCTGGTTAACATATCCGCCAGATTTAGACTGCTTGGGATCCACCTCGTACTGAAAATCCTGATATCGGCTTCCATACACACCTCCCAAACCTTCCTTGTAATATCTTTTTGCCAGTCCATAGGGCCCCACTTAAAACAGTCTTCAATGCCACTCTGTTGTCAATGAACAACGTAACCCAAGTCCCTCTTAACAAATCTCTGAAAGATTGAAGCACCCGTAGCACCACCAACGCCTCTAACTGGGCTATAACATCTGTGGCATGCGGTTGCACCCAACTCCCTGATGCCTTGTATCCTTGGAAAATACCACAAAAACCTTTTGTCGATGCATCGACATACACCAACCTTACTCATGAGGGTTTCCAGGCAGGCTGGCCATTTCATTTCTTTAGGTTTTTTATCAACCAACGAATATTCTTAACAGCCTGCGTCGATAACCCAACATTGTTGGCCCACTGCTATACGTCCTGATTTTTGGAGTCTATCAACTTGTAGAACTCCATGTACTTCACCTGGCTTGGAAAGAATACTCTTCCTAAACTCACTATTTTTCCTGCTATTGACGCCAAATCCCTTGCGAAAACCTTCAGAGCCACCAAAATTTGCTCCAATTTTGACACTGTCAACCCTATTTTTTCCTCTGGTGCTATCACTAACCCATTCAAAGTATCCACTATCATCCCACAAAACTTTAATGTTTGAGTCAGGTCCCAACAATCCTTTTCTTCAGCCCGAACCCAACCACAACCTATTAGATCCACATCTATTATCTTGTCTCTTATTTCCAATAAACCCTCTTTCATTAGGTAGGCCACCCATACATCGTCTAGATGGCTCCCACAATATATCCCCTAGGCTCACCATTTGCCGATTAAAGCTCTCATTATTTTCGAAAACACCTAGAGAGCCTGGCTGAGGCCAAAAGGTAACACCCTGTACCGATACCAAGTTTCTCCTACTACAAAACCCAAAAATCTTTGGGCTTCGATATCCATCATCACATGATGGTAACCATCTTTCAGGTCAAAGGAAATTGACCACCAGCCTTTCTCTATTGTCCGTAATAGGCCACCCAGCCCTTCAAAATGGAATGATTTCTGTGGTAACGTCCTGTTCAACCTTCGCAAATCAATTACTAATTAAAATTTTCAGGGGCTCTGTTTCGGGACTAGAAACACAGGGCTTACTTCCAAAAGGTCTGCTGGACGAGCAGTTCTCTTGCCAATCCTTGCTATTGCCCCGAAATCTTCAGTCTCAGCGACTCCTCTTCTAACCAATGCTCCTTTTCCTTCGAAAAACGATAAGTTTCAGGTCTGGACTAGTTACTAAGCACACAAGGTTCCTTGAAAACAAAGGAATTTCCTCCTTTAACCATTTTAACATCAGCTGTGCCGGCCTTATTATTTCTTCCTAGTATTTCACTGCTACATGGCCATAGATCCTTTCTGTTACTGAACCCAAATTTGCTTCTTCCAACTCTACACTCCCCGAGTGTAGTTAACTACTTTCTGATTGAGCGTTATCCCCACGAAAGGGCAAACCAAGATGCTTCCTAGAACTACATTCATTTGCAAAATGCCCCTTGCCTTCACATAAATAACAAACCACTTCCTTTCCTTTAAACCACTTATTTCTATCATTTTTCTTTGCCCAATAAGGGGACAGAGAATATGCCTGTTGCTGCTTTGAAGATGGCAAACCTGTATTTGGGCTAAAAGCCTGTTGATACTGACCTCTTTGTGGAAAATTGGGGGCCATCTGAGCAGCTTGAGCAGGAAGTGCCAACAGTCCACCAAAAGGAACTTGCGGACTCACTGGTTGGTTTGAAAATTGTGGGTAAAAACCCGGTTGTTGCACATAAGGATGTCATTGTGAAAATTGAGCTGCAGGGACACCACTCATTTAAACGATAGGAGCTTGCATTGGGGACTGCCCAAAACGAGAGTAATACGATGATTTCAGCTTTTTTGCCTTTGAAAAACGCTGTGTTGCTAATCTAGCTCTTTCTTATTTACCTCTTAAAATTTCAAACATAGGGTCCGACCTATCCGCAGAAGCCATCTTAGAAGCGACTTCCCAACCATCTTCATTTGCAACTCTCACTATATACGCCCTTTCTATAACAACTTGCCTTGCCAAACGAACATAGGCTATATTACCAGTAACTAGAGCCTTATCCAGCAATGCCCCTGCTTTACACCATTTATTGTACTCCCACTGGTTATGTTGCTTTGTCAACTCCTATTTTTCCCACATATCTTTATGCTCCACATTACTCAAAGCTAAAGTTTCCAAATTTGTCCCCAAGGCCCATTATGTGTCAGGTTCAGTTCAAATATAGGCTAACCTTTGAAAGAATCCAAAGATTTTTGTTCACACGATCTCCACTGCTGATACTTATCACCAGACTACTGGAAAGTATCAGGCTCCTCCACAAAACCTTCGCCTTGACTTTCTAACTGTGGTTGCACATCCTGGGGCCCTCGGAGACATCAATAGCCGTATCCAGACCCAACTAGCCTTTTCTCTCCTTAACCAGCATTGCCACGACTTCCTTCTTGGAGCCCAAATCTGAAACTCCTGATGCCTTATAGACAAATTTTAAAGTGTCTAACGATAAATGCTCCAGACTCAATTCTAGAGCCATTTGTGACATGTCAAGCTGAACCGGTGTATCATTTAATACAACCAGATCAGACTCCTTATCCGATAGTAACATATTGGTCAAAAAAACAAGACCAAGTAAAAACTCTTCCTTCGCAAAAAACGATGAAACCAATTTATTTAAGAAGTAAAAATGTAATGTAAAATGAATATGCACAAGTTCAAAATAACATGAATTAAGTAGGTATGTATAAGAGAAAAAGTATGTATGAAATGTATGAATTGAATGAAATATATATAGCACAATTAAACCAGACAAAAGTTGGGTTAGTAGAAAAAACAAAACTTACCCTTCCTGAGAAAAAAACTCCTTCCTTAAAAACCCACTAATAATTACTAATCGTAACAATTACGTCAAATCATCATAATCAAATTATGCATCATACAATAGATCATAACAATGTAATAAACTACAAACATACAATAGCCAATCAATGCAAAAATCAAAAAATCATGCTTATTACCCGATCCCTTGATATACCCTGTGCCCGATTCAGGACAAAATGCTGCTCTGATACTTTCATATCGGGTAGCTAAAAATTATTTTACAAGATTATTTATTATTATTTACTGTATATCTGCAGATACTGGGTCAAAATCCTGAACAACAGATTATCGAAAGAACATAACACCGGCCAGTGTTATAAATTCAAAAAATTTTATTGGCGCAAGCACATATTATGTATAAATAATATGCACGCAAACTTTAAAAATATGCGCAAAAAGTTTTTTATATATTTACAGTAAAGTAAAATTATAATATACGCAGAGCGCCAATCATCTTCAACAAAATATGCGCAAATTTAAGTTTATGTGCGCTGTGCCTACTGCGCATATCCAATTTATATCACTGACACCGACTAAATTGGCCAGCATTATAGCTAGTGCTGGCTAATTTTGTCAGTATTATAGTATGTTCTTTTGGGATTTTGACCCAAATTCATTTTAACCACCTTTTATCTTTTTTACCGGCATAACGATAAAGCTATGCAAAATAAATTACATCCGTTTTTATTATTTTTGGGATATTTGATGTCAGTAACTTACTAATTCCAACTTGGTAACTTATCGATTCGATCGTCAAAAGATATTCCAAAAATAACGAAAACAGTTTTTATAATCTGATCGTATCAATTTTGGAATTTTCAAAATAAAAAAAAATTTTTAAAAGTTTATATTATGAAAACAAAGAAATTATACAGCCTAATTCCATAATTAGAGGTCTATATTATTTCCCTGCCATTTTTTTCCCTGACATTTATTTCCCCAACAATATTTCCCCAACAATTCTTTCTCCGACACTTTCATTTCCCCGATATTCACTTCCCCGACACTTTTATTTTCCTGACATTTACTTCTCTGACACTTTCATTTTCCCGACATTCACTTCTCTGACACTTTCATTTTCCCGATATCTTCATTTTCCAATATTTACTTCCCTGACACAGTCATTTACTCAACATTCCCTTCTCTGACACTTTCATTTACCTGACATGACTATTTTCTCAATATAATCATTTTTCCGAAATTCACTTCCCTGATACTTTCAATTCCCGACAAAACCCTCCTGACAAAATTATCTTTCCGGCTATACATGCTGGCAAAATTAAAAACTTTATAATTCCAAATCCCAAATCCCAAAACTCAAAACCCAATAGGCTTGCCAGCAAGTATAACAGTACATTTATACTATATGCTACACTTCTACCTATATGGCAAATCTGCTGTATTGTTATGATATTTTTGCCAAGATAGCTGTCTTCAAAATTCTAAATGTCTGCACCTCTAATTTAGGTTCTTGAATTAGTTAGACATGTATAAGCTCTGGTTCAGAAAATGGAAATATCAAAATAAATTAAATATATAAATAGTTACTAAAATGCATCATTTGTGCCAAACATCATATGTTTAATATATTTTATGCTTTTACAATATTTAATTGCGATACAACAATATATATATTATTTTTATTTATTGTACAATAAATACTCTTTATACACATTTTATATCTATCTAACACTTACCTTATCTTACATTCTAAACTCTAACCATAATCTATAACTTATTACTAATCATAAACTTATCCTTATCCTACTCTTACCCTATCATAACCTTAAACATACCTAATAACTTATACTATTATCTACAAAATTACTATTAATTTGAGATTGTTACATATAAAAGTCATCGGGGTGACCCTTATATCCATTAATCGGGTCATAGTTGCTATATCTTGATTAATTCATCGCCCAATTATTTTGTGCAAAAAATTATATACTGTTAGGTTAAGAGTGAAATTTTGCTATTCAAAAACCTATATATATCAAGTTTTACAAGAGAATTTTTATTAGTACACAAAAGGCAATTTCATAGACTCAATTTTGTATTTGGACAAATTGAATGTTTGCTTTGAATTTTCTGATAATACTTCGTTGCGTCTGATCTTGAAATTTAGTTGGCCATTGAAAATTTTTAGGATAGTAATTTTCCCGTTTAGTTGCTGCTACCCAGGTGCCCCAGATTTATTTTTTGACAACACTAAAATACATAAATTGAAAATCGAATATCATATAAATATTTGCAAAAAACCAGGTATGAGACACCAATTCATGTTAGATAAAACGTTGTTGTTACACAACTAATTTTACACACGGTGTGAAACATATAAAAAAATTATTTTACAATACTTGATCAGTCTTGATCAGTCCGCTAGTACATGTTATGATTATAATCCAACACCATTTTTTATTATAAGAAAATGGTGTTGGATTATAATCATAACATGTACTAGTGAACTGATCAAGACTGATCAAGTATTGTAAAATAATTTTTTTATGTGTTTTACACCGTGTGTAAAATCAGTTGTGTAACAACAACGTTCCCTCCTGTAGTTGGATAATTATACTTAAATTATCTGCTATCAAATAATACTGACTATTATCATCATCACAGAATTGGACTTGAAAAGAAAGCTTTTATTAACAATCAAAAATCCACAGAAATGGATGATGATGCTGGATATTGTTTTCATCATGAAATTGGAAGTGAAAAGGATGAACATAAAGCATATATCTGGTATCACGGCCACTATTGATCATAAGTATTACACCATATAAGTTATAAATCACTTTCTTTTTATTTCGTCATTCATGCATACGTCATCTATACTTATACTATGTGAATTAAAGAGGTTTTTAAAAAAACAAATAGTATAATTTATAATCAATGACCGCCATACTATAATACCAATATAGAATTATAATTCTGAGATTCATTATACTGGTCAGCGATAATTTTTTTTGATTATTCAGAGAATGCCACTTTGTGGCATTCTCTGATCAAAAAAATTATCACTGTACCAACGTGATGTTATCTCATATTATCATACTATATTATATAAATATTGGATGTCGCTATAGTCATGGAATTAGTGTTGAAAATGAACATAAGAGCTTTATTAATGCAGAGATGAAGAGCACTAGTGGAACGAATAGTGTTAAATGGTTTGTTAACATCGAATTGGAACATAAAACATATATTTAGACCTACCTATCGACTAATTCGCTTGTTATCAAAACTATTATTATAAATTCAGAGACACTGGGTAAATATTTGCTAAGATTTTTTTGATTGTTTCGGACTTCAGCATAATAGATATGAGAATCACCCCTAAAACAAGTATTGCATATATCATAAAATATATAGCTTTATACACTAATCATTTCAAAATTAATAACTTACTGAATCTTGTGTCCCAGAACTTATAAATAATAGTTGTAAAACTTAATGCTTAACCTAGACATCAGAATTTAATCTAAATATCTAATCTTACCTAATAAACCTAATCTACACAAAACCTATTATTGCCATGGCACGCTATTGCTTATGTTAAAATTCACCACAATCATTATACAGCAAAAATATCAAGCAACACCACCAGTAGCAATACCAGCACCAACCCAGCCAGTGTTGTCACTACTAGAAGTTAATCAATAGTGCCACTAGAACTTTAAGTTCTAGTAACAATATTGAACCCAACAACAATATCAGCAAATCAATGATATAGAACAGAATTAGCGAAAAGAGAAACATGTAAAAACATGAAATCACACATACCACAGTCAACTTCATTAAAAACAAGGAATCTACGAAACAGCAAAATCGATAAATGATTCACTACAGACAATATTAAGACAAGCAGCGACATGACACTAGCAGAGGTGACACCGAAAAGTGACTAAACAATACCAGAAGGAGAAGAGTATAGTAGGCATGAAAAAAAAAAAATTAGATTAGCAGTTAGTATGATACCATTAAACAAAAAAAACATATACAAAGTAAACAAACTTGTTTTTAAATAGTTAAATAAAATAAAATAGTTAAATAAAATAAAATAGTTAAATAAAATAATATAAATTAATAATTGTATTTAAATTAAGTAAAAACTAGAATAAATTATTTTATTTTATTTTATTTTATTTTATACTTCAGTTTCTAATTTCTAGCAAATATTCAAACTCTTTAACCAGACCTGTCTTTAATTCAGAGTTATGCATTTCACAATTGTATTATTATTATTATTATATATAAATAAATAAATATATATTTGTATCTGTTTTTCAAAATTTGGGATTTGAGATGAGATGGACAGGATTTGGGGTTGTGATTTGGAATTTGGAATTCAGGATTATAAAGTTTTTAATTTTGCCAGCATGTATAGCTGGAAAGGTAATTTTGTCAGGAAGGTTTTGTTGAGAAATAAAAGTATCGGAGAAGTGAATTTCGGGAAAATGATTATGTTGAGGAAATGGTTATATCAGATAAATGAAAGTGTCAGGGAAGGGAATGTTGGGTAAATGACTGTGTCGGGGAAGTAAATGTTGGGGAAATAAAAATGTCGGGGAAATGAAAGTGTTGGGAAAGTGAATGTTGGGGAAATGAAAGTGTTGGGGAAATGAAAGTGTTGGGGAAGTAAATATCAGGGAAATGAAAATGTCAAGGAAGTGAATGTCGGAGAAATAAAAGTATCGGGGAAGTGAATGTTGGAGAAATAAAAGTGTCGGGAAAAGGATTGTCAGGGAAACATTGTCAGGGAAATGAATATTGGGAAAAAAAATATCAAGGAAATGATATGAACCTCATAATTAGTATATGCCTTCCTTCTTATTGGTAAACTAAACTTTTGGATAATACAAATATCAAACCTCAGTTAATAACAAATATCTAAAAGGGTAAATTCTTGATGAAAAACAACAATGTATTACTAAGGTAATATATAAAATGCATGAAAAAACTCTGTACCAAAGATTTGTCGATCTTTTGCCATGTAATTCAGATTTGCCATAGCAAATTCGATGATAGGTTTTGTTTAGAAATTAAATAAACATATCCTGAAAACAATGTTGGACTGTTCTCTTGACCATTACTTTATCTTTTTTATTCTCCATCTTAGAACCATGTTAATTTAATATATTGTACGTTATCAATTATTTCATATAATCAATAGGTTGACTTGTTGCTATTATTAAAAACAATATATTATAAATACCAATTTGAAAAGATGAATAAATATAATTATTGACTGCTTCGCATCTAAGAGCTCTATATTACCTGCATTTACTATACTCAAAAATTTAAAAAATTTATAATTATTAATATGCTAAGAATATAAAAAAAAAGGTGTCGTAAATAGGAATCTTTAAATAAATTATAATAATTTTTATCGACTATATATCGATATTCTTTAATTTATGTTGACAAGAGTCAACTGATCGAAAAGACAGGGGAGAATGGTCAGGGTTGCACATCGCGTACTACAACTAGAGATGGCAGAAATCATGATTTAAATAAATTTTTTTAATTTAAAAATAATTTACAAATGATTTAAATCATTAATTCTTATTAAGTAATCAAACTATTTTATATCAAATTCTGATTTTCAAATCCACAGAATCTTAGACAAGGTTGTCAAATCACAATACTAAATGATGTAAATCTGTTTTAAATTAATTTAAAATAAAAATCAGTGATTTTTATCATTGTGATTTAAATTACATGCCATCCCTAGCTACAACCCCACCTGATAGCATGGGTTGGAAATCGAAAGAGATATCAGACTTCAGAAACTTCATGCGATAAAGTGACATAACCGAAATCTACTGATAACAATCAGTATTTGAGTGACGAAGAGAGAAAACTTATAAGTAAAAATTAACATTATCACTAATATATATATTAGTATATATATATTAGTGATAATGTTAATTTTTACTTACAGGTTTTCCCTCTTTGTCAACAAACCAAGCATTACAACCAGGTGTGTGAAATTCAATGTTCTCACTATTCTCAGAGAACATAAAAATATTTTTAAGAACATTTTAACTTAAGAAATATTCTCTTATTTGAGAACATTTTTGTTAAATATTATGTTCTCAGTGAAAATATAAATTTATATACAATGTTCTCAAGAGAACATAATTATTAATTTATAGCTCTCAAAAAATATAAATATTTGTTTTATTTAAGTAATAAAAATTTACAATTGCTAAGAAATTATGCTAGGATTTTTCTTAATTAACCAGAACTAAGACTGTTTATCAGTCTGTCTTGGTCCAAAAACCAATAGTCTTTTAAAAAGTTAGACCGGACAGCAGTCCAAGACTAACTAGGACCAATTAGTATAAGACTAGATGAACTGATTACTGGACTAATTAAATTCTAAATAAATTGCATCAATATATTGCATTATTACCTCTTATTATTATATTCTACATTTAAATTATTAGTTTATTAAATAAAAGCTACTTCTAAATGAATATTTAAATCTGTCTATTATTATTAGAGATAAAATATACATGAGTTTGAAAATAATTTACCTAAATTTTGTAAGCATATTTTTAATGTACTTGTACTTTAAGTATATCTAGAAAATAATTTAAATTAAATATATGAATATTTCTAACTATAACCAGTGGTGATCTTCACTAGGGTGTCTATATCTCAAAAATGTACTAAGTAAACGAGATCGGGTACTCTAAGTAAAATGTTCAGGACCTCCAAAAACTTCACAAGAACTAAGATCGGGCTCTAACGGGCCCTTATAGTAGATCTATATTATTTTATATAAAAAAAAATAATTCTCTAATTCTAACCCTAACCCAAAAATAATTAGGGGTGGTGATTATCGCCACTGGTGATTTTAAGTATATTTCTAAATATATTAAATATATTAAATTTGTATATCTAACTCTTGTTAAAAAAAACCAATTATTATAATAAAGTAGAGATTAAATAAAAAAAAACCTATTTAAAATTTTTAAATTTTTACTATTGTTTAAACCTCTAAAAAATTAAAATATATAATAGTAAAGATTAGCTTTTCTCAAATAACTTACAAACATATTAATACTGTATTGTAAAGATTTAGTTTAAAACTTTTATTTTTTGGTTAATTAAACATCCAACTAAATTAGTATCGTGATTGAAAAGTCACTATATAAGATTGGAGTATTCTATATATATTGGTTTAATTATACATGCACTAGATTTATGCTAAAGAGATTTGGATTTTTTACAATTATATATAAGCACCAAACATGTAATTAAGTATTTAGTATATAACTTTATATCAACTCAATAAAAAGTTTTCTCACAACTATAATTAGATATTTTATTTATATACACAATCCAAATTTAATATTATATCAAATATCACAGAATTAGATTATATTTTATTTATATAATTATTTATAACAATAATTTAATATAACTGCTATTAGGACTAATGGTTCTTTTTTTCAGTCTATTCTAAAAAAGTTAAGACTAGCAGTCTATTGGTTTGAGTCAGACCACTTAATAGCTCTAACCAGAACTCTTAGTATTTTACAATAGATACTGTGTATGGATCAAGTTTCAGTTTCAAATAATTATATGTTAAAACATATAATATAACTTATATTATATGTTTTAATATATAAATTTGAGAACAATTTTTAAAAATTAAGAACATTATTATAAAACATATGTTCTCTATTGAGAACAATATATTTTTTTTTGAGAATAGTAAAAATAATTTAATGTTCATTTGAAAACATAAATTAAATTTTGAATTTTACACACTGTTGACTGTGTTTGAGTTCTTAATTTTCTGCTAATTTTTAGGCCTTAGCATTATTAAATCTTAGGCCTCAATGTTATTAATTCTTAGGCCTCAATGTTATTAATTCTTAGACCTTAATGTTGCTCAAGTTCAAGGTTTTAATTTTTTATTAATTTTTAAACCTTAATGATATTAGCTTTTAGATTAGTTTTAATATATTAGATCTTTAATTTAAATGTTTTTATTTTAATTTTTTTTAAATTCTTAGATTCTAAATAATTTATTTTTATACAATTAATTAAATAATAATATTTTTATTTTATATACAATTAATTAAATAATAATACTTTTATTTTATATATAATTAATTATTAAATAATAATATTTTTAGACTATATACAATTAATTATTAAATAATAATACTTTTAGACTATATACAATTAATTAAATAATAAACAGAAATTTTTCATTAAAACTCTTTCTGCTGATCCTCTGTTCCAAATTTAGAATTAAGAAAAAACATCAAATTTTACAAAAACAAGTCAATAAATAGCTAAAACCCTTCTAGGAAAAAAAAAACCTTTGTATAAAACAAAGAAACTCTCTTAGAAGCAAACAGTATATTTTATTAGTAAATTCTGTGACAACCAGGAACTTTACAAAATTTTTACAACTTTTGATAGCATGTATGAAATGTGTGCCAGGTTATGCACGTTGTCGATCATATACCATCAATTAACTTGACGCTCATCTAGGCAATTTATATTAATTAATTGAAGATTCAATTAAAAATTAAACTAATTCATTATAAAAAATTTAAAAAATTCAATAAATTTTTAAACATGAAATTTACTAAGATATTTTTATTAAACTTTTCAAAAAATATCTGCTTTTTATTATATGTATATACTAGTGACTGGACTCTTCAACTCGTGACTTGAATAAAATTTTTAACTTGCGAGTATTCACATTAATAAATTTGTAAGCTGCATAAATAATATCATAATTTTTATGTAATTATATGTAATTCTTTAAAATTTTTAAAATTTAAATAAACTATGTGCTTAATTTATTGTGATTGCAAATTTTTAATAAAAATAAAAAGAGCT